TTCAAAAGAAGAGTAGCAAAGAATTTGTAGCCCTCTTAAATTTACATCACTGAGTTAGGCCCATATTTATGGATAATTATTGAGTTAGGAAATCATAGCATTGAATTTTAGCCCTAAAAATTAATTATATTGGAATGAGAAGCAGAGGATGTCATAATTATTGAATGTTACGTTTTCCTGACTAAGAATAATATGCATTTTAAAACCACAAGGTTAAATTGGTTACATTACCCTACAGGTTAATGGAATAACCTTATTTTGAAAACCAAGAATATTAAAATCATGTTAATTCTACACATCAATATGATTTCTAACTCAGTAGATCAACCTATCAAATACATTCTAGAATTTTGCAAATGTAATGAGAATATTGAAGGATAATTACTATCAGGTTTCATCTGAGGGCTTTCATTCTGCCTGTTAGATACCTACATGAATGTTGCCAATAACTTCAAGTAAAAATTGTAGCTAAAAATCATTTGCAACACCATTCATTAAAAAAATTTCATAGATTTTCTAAATTGTCTTCTGATGGCAAATAATGCTTAATGTGTGTTCATACATAAATGCAAATGATACATTATTATTTACTTAATTTGCAGCTGTGAAATTGTGAACTTTGTTAATAATTTCCCCAGAAATCTTTTGTTAACAATATATATATATATATATATATTTTTTTTGTGAGGTTTTTGCTATAGGACTCATGTGCTCACTAGAAAGAGAGACACAGAGAAACAGAAAGCAAGAAATCACTGCAATCCCTTCTCCTCCATTCTCTCTCGGGGATCTTGGACATGCATGCACATATGCTCGGCGTGAGTTTAAGCCCCCAGGTCTGGGACATGAACCACAGTCAACTACATGGGAGTCCAGCCAAAAAGCCATTATGCCAACTGCTAGTCCCTTTTGTTAACAATTTTGTGAGTTAAGAATTTGGAAATGATTCAGATGGGAAGTTTTAGCCTCGGGTGTCTCAGGCAGTTACAGTTAGATGTTGACTGGGGCTCTGTCACCTGATGGCTCCACCAGGTTGGATGCCAAGATGGCTCATTTTTGTGGCTGGCTGTTGATATAATGGCAGCTCATATAATGCTGTCAGTGGAAGCACCCTGTGCTTTGTACTTCTCAGCATGGCTGTTTTGCGAAGTTACTCCTTTCTGCAAAGGAGTAACTATCATGGAAGCTGAAAGGACTTCCTGACCTAGCCCTGAAAGTCATGCAAAGTTAATTTCGTCATGTTCTGTCACACGAGTCAGTAAGACCAACCCAAATCCAAGGCGAGGAGCATTAGATTCCACCTTTCAAAAGAAGAGTAGCAAAGAATTTGTAGCCCTCTTAAATTTACATCACTGAGTTAGGCCCATATTTATGGATAATTATTGAGTTAGGAAATCATAGCATTGAATTTTAGCCCTAAAAATTAATTATATTGGAATGAGAAGCAGAGGATGTCATAATTATTGAATGTTACGTTTTCCTGACTAAGAATAATATGCATTTTAAAACCACAAGGTTAAATTGGTTACATTACCCTACAGGTTAATGGAATAACCTTATTTTGAAAACCAAGAATATTAAAATCATGTTAATTCTACACATCAATATGATTTCTAACTCAGTAGATCAACCTATCAAATACATTCTAGAATTTTGCAAATGTAATGAGAATATTGAAGGATAATTACTATCAGGTTTCATCTGAGGGCTTTCATTCTGCCTGTTAGATACCTACATGAATGTTGCCAATAACTTCAAGTAAAAATTGTAGCTAAAAATCATTTGCAACACCATTCATTAAAAAAATTTCATAGATTTTCTAAATTGTCTTCTGATGGCAAATAATGCTTAATGTGTGTTCATACATAAATGCAAATGATACATTATTATTTACTTAATTTGCAGCTGTGAAATTGTGAACTTTGTTAATAATTTCCCCAGAAATCTGAGAATTTTTAAAGTGAGCATAATTTTTAGAAATCAACATTTTATTACAGTTTCTGATCGCTATAATAAAGGCATATATTTCAGTTTAAGCTAATTACTCAATGGGATGTTAATACAAAAACATCATTGACAATTAACCAACAAAAAGCAATTATAATAGGTGTAAACTGAATCTCAGATCTTACTGCCATAAAGGCCTCACTGTCTACTTGCAAGGAATGTGGTTACCTGATGATTTTCAGTTGCCGGCTCCTTCAGGCTCCACTGTGGCTTTCCAACTGAAGTCCATGCTAATCACAGGCTGGTCTGAATCAATGGCTGAATAATGTAGTGGTGGACAAGATGTAGCACTTCTTGAGTCTCTGTCCAAGCAATGATTGAATGCTGGCAAGGTAATACAAGAGCCTTCCTACTTTCCCTCAGCAATGAATTCTTCCTTTTTTCTTCTCTTTTATCCCCCCGTTTTTCTTTTCTTTTTTTTTTTTTTTGCTATAGGGAATGTGCTTGCTGCAGAGAGAAAGAGAGATGATGAGAAAGCACCCCTAGGGGAGGATGACCATGCCATGATCCCTTCTCCTCCATTCTCCTTGCTGGATTTTGGGAACTCACACCCAGCAACCACCAGGGATCCAGTCACCTTCACCTCACCCCATTGGCTGGCTCTCAGCATGGGACTCTACAGGCCATCTTGACTCTAGAAGTCCTTGTTTAGCAAATAGAAAATTGTTCACTGTGCACTGTGAACATGGTCCTACTGCCTCCCACCCAGTGTTGATCTTTTCTTCTTTCCTTTCATATATCCTTTTTTCCCCTTCCTTAGTACACCTTTTGCATCCTAACTCCATCTCACTATTTGATTCCTGAAAAACCAATCTGTGATATCATTTTATTTTACAAAGGGAATCAACTTTTCTAAATGAAATATTATGCAAGATTTTAGGGATATGTGTACAATGGAGTTTTGGTCAATAGGTATTTTATAGTTTCATAGCATTATGGACCTACAGACATTTCCATGGAGCAAAGAGGTTAAGAAAATAGGGGGACAAATATCTGGTACTTGTAGTATCAAGGATTTAGTTCCAGATCTCTGTAAGTCTAAGAAACATGATTGTCTTATCATTCTCCTACTTATGCTGACTTTTCCTTTGCAATGTGGAGTAAGCTTAACCTTTTGTTATTACCAGTAATAGTTAGAATTTATGTAATAGAAATTATGAGCATGAATGTAAAAAACAATGGATTTAAATTCTGTTCATGAAAACTTATAATTTAGGAAAGAAATTAAACTACTACAAAAGAGAAGGAACAGAAATAATTAGCAGCTTCCTATCAAACTGGTCATCCAAAAATCAGAAAAGATATTAACAAATTAGAACTATATATTCTATATTGATCATTGCAGAGGCATTTGTACTTATTAAAGCTAATGAGAACTGGAGTAAATATTGTGTTTTCTCTAGTTCCTTAACTGTTTTCTTCCTTGTAAGCTCACATAAGAGTGATGGATTTCATAGACAATGGGTATTTTCCTAATGGTTATGTTGTTTGGTAATTTTACCAAAGAAGGAACCATGAATTGCAACATCCTGCATGTGTCAGGTACCACTGTGGTGTCAATGGAATGCTAATGGTGTCAATGGAATGCTAAAGGAATGCCATGTACATGCTCAGGTGGAGAAATAAACCTTATCCAGTGAAGCTAGAGAACAAGTAAACCATATTAGGAGTATATGACATAATGTATGGTTTAGACACTAAGAGCACCCCTTCACCGCAAAGGAATGTGTAACTAAGCCAACAAGGGAAAATTTCCTAGTGGGATAAAGAATTATTTTCAAGATGCATCTCAGAGTTTGAAGTGTTAGGGAAGATCGAGGGATTCAGTGGGCAAAAGAGAAAAAATCCAGGTGTGTGCGTGTGTAAAGGAAGGGAGCACATTATGTGTCAGCTCTGTAGGAGCCAGCAAAGGTTATAAGCAGGTAGGAAATGAAAACCTTTGAAGCTCAGAAATAAGTAACAGATAATAAAAGGCACAACATGCCATGCTAAAGAGTTTTGATTTTTTTGTTTTCCCTAAAAGAGATGATTAGCTGTTAAATTAGGAAGTGGCAGAATGAATTTCCACTTAGAAAATAAATCTCCCTTGCAGATAGAGAAAGTGATAGAGAGTGAAGGGGAAATCGCTTTAGAAATCATGGCAGAAATTGGGCTAGAAGTGATGAATACCGAGAGTAAGTCAAAATCAATACAAAATACAGAGCTGTGAGTCTAGGACGCATTAAGGAAGTCAAGATCAATGAATTTGGTATCAGATTTGGTTGCAAGTGAGTGGGAGGTGAGTACATAATAGAGTTGGAATGTCTGTGTGATAACGCTGATACGTGTTAATAAGTAGTTGTGTTTCTGAGCTCGGGTTTGGAAGATCAATAATTCTGGATTAAGTAGTTGTATTTGTGGGTTGCCAGCATAGACCAGAAGAGGTTGTAGGTGTGCCTGTGTGTAGACAGAAGCCATTGCCAACTGTTTGTGCAGCATGAGAATAAATCATCAGAGATTGACCTCTAGCAAAAGGGCTAAATGTTACAGGGAAATCATTAAAGATGAAGACCGCACGGTGACTGTTGGTTGAGAATTAATGTTTAATTATAGTAGGGGAACCAATGGTAGATAGGGCATCTCTTTTAAAGTATAATGACTTTATTTCACTTATTCACAAAAATTAGAGGAAAGAATCTAGGATGAGTCATTGATTTATGTTTAAGCAACAAAATTAATAAACAAATATATCACAAAAAATAAAAAAAACTATGTAAGAAAACATACTCATGTATGAGCACACTATCATGTATAGCATAATATTTTGGACACATTAGCTTGTTTTTTTTTTTTTTGTAACTTGGAATATATTATGAAAAATATCACACTGTAGAGGAAATTTGAGTTTCATTAGTCAGATGCAATTTTCTCCCACTGTGTGAAGCTGACTTACCTTATCAAGAGCAAAGTGAAAGGGCTAAGCCTATTATGCCATCTCTTTGATGTTTTTATAGGATATAATGAAAGATGAATGCTCAATGCTCAAGCTGCAGCTGAAAGAGAGGGATGAACTCATTTCCCAACTTCAGGAAGAACTGGTAAGTGATAACGATATTTGGCCCACAGAGTATAATTTCCCTGCAAGGTTATTTGTTATCAACCCTCATTTCTTAACACTGATATTATTATTTATAAACACTGTTAGTGACTTAATCTGATTATCAATTCTGTGATTTTTTTTTATTCATAAAAACTGTAAAATCTTTGGCAAGCTAAAAAAAGAAAGAATGTTTTATAATGTATGTGGAAATTTATATAATACCTGAAACAGATGACTGCCCCAGGGTTAGACATTTTATTTGTATCTATCGAAAATCTTGCAGGCTAAGGCCACATTATATTCTGTGAAGTGCATGATTTAACGCATACTTCTATGCCTAGAGATAGAATCACGTAATATCAAGCAAAGTACTCAGTAATCTTACATGGCTTTTACTTTTTATACAGCTACCACCAATATATAAGCCTAATTAATATTTTAAAATTTGTTATATTTTTACCAATATGTTATTTCCAAATTATAAAAAAGTTTTATGAATTATATATAGTTAATGTTTTCAGAGTGTGGTATGTTTTATGTGATGTCATAAAAAAATATAAGGAACCACACCATCATGACATGAAAATGCATTTGGTGGGTACCAAAAAGTTCTTTAGCATCCTTTTTCTAAGTATGTGTTTTCAGTTTCTATATCTATATGAACAATATTTTGCAATAAAATATGTGCACTTGATATAATAAAAGATAGTAGCACTCTAAAGCAAGGATTAAATAAAACAATAAGTATTTTTTAAAATTTACCAAGAGCTCTTACAATTTACCAATAAAATGAATAGGATACCATGAAAGAGATCTTGACTAATGATAAAAATCAAAAAGCAAATCCTAGTCAAAAGTATTTTATGATTATCTCAGATGTGACCACATTAACAATTGTGTATTGTATAATTCTTAAATATAATTGACAAAACAGATTTTGTAAAACATGTAGCTTCTGAGAACTGTTAACGTATTAGTGAGATATTAGAAGTATTGAGAGCACTTTTTATTGACTCACAAACTGGCAATGTTTTCACTGAAACTTGACCTTTATTAAGACAGTGTTTGTTGGTTGGGTTAATGCTGATGGTTATTCTCCTATGTGTATTATTATTATTATTTTGAGAGGTTTTTACTATAGAGCACATGCACTCACCACAAAGACAGAGAGAGACAGACAGAAAGTGAGAAATCACCCCCCAGGGAGGATGGCCATGCCACAATCCCTTCTCCTCCATTCTTCTCTTGGAATCTTGGGAATGCACGCACACACACCCAGCTTGAGTTTAAACCACTGGGTCTGGGACTCAAACCTCGGTTGACTACATGGGAATTCAGCGACATAGCCATTATGCCAACTTCTGGTCCCATCCTCTGTGTATTATTAAGACTTTAGAGAGCCATAACCTAGTACTTAAAATAGCAGACAAAAGGCACATGTATTAAATTATTAGAAATACATTTTCATAAATAAATAATGTTTATGATATAAATTTTAAATATATACTAAAAATCTTTCTATATTTAATATAGTCTTGCCATTTTATATTATAAAATCAGGCTTTGCTTATGTGTCATGCAAAAATGTCTTATATTGTCAGATATTAAAGAATGGATAAAATCATAAATTTTAACATAAGGGGATTTAGTCACTGCCACAATCCTTATTTGGGATAATTAACTCAGAAAGAAGTGTTCATTTTTCTCCTAAAACATTAGCTGTGATTAGATTTAAAACATAGCATGTACAAGTGATCAGACCTACATTTGGTGAATGAAGTAAGAAAATGATTACTTTCAGAGCCAGTGCTACATAGCTATAATTAAAGTAATTCAGTCCCACTCTCTCCAGAAGTCCTGTTTCGGCTGACTTACTAAAGCGCGGCGCGTGCGTGCGTGCGTCCATGCGGGCGTGTGTATTTTCTGTAAACTGGAATTACCCAAATTGGCTATTTAGCCTCTAAAATTCCCCAAGTAACAATCAGGGTGCCATTTTAATTTCCATGTTTTGTAGTTTGCATAATCATCATGAATATTTCAGCAAATGAAATATGGCAACTTTTGAAGATATATTAGTAGTTTATAAAAGTGGATTGTAGCTAAGGAAAAAGCACGTGAGATTTAAGAAACCAGGGGAAGGAGCATTGCAAGAAGAAGGAGCTGGGGCTGGATTTGGAGCATGGAGGAAGCATGGCTGTCACAGAGGGCAGTGCAAGCCACTGGGCTTCATGGAGCAGTCTGGCTCGAGGACTTCTGAGCCTGGCAATAAGTAACTTGTGACATTTCGACAGGTAGAAGTTAAACTTTCCATTTATAACTTACCGACTTAAATTTGAAAATTCAAAACATATTTCAAAACTAGTTTCTCCTTACCATGTTATAATGCGTACTCGTGCTCTGTGGTCATTTAGAGCTAGTGCAGTTTTATATTACCTGGGATGGATCTGTCTGTTCTAAATGACTGGTGTTATCACAAGCCATTTTATCTCCATGTACATTATAAAACAAATGTAGGTATATTTATACCAGAAAGGTCTTTATACTTAATTAATAATTAAGAACAATTTGTTTGTTAGTAATTATTTGTTTACTCAACGCGATAGTTTGGAGTTGTAAGGTTTAGTCAGAGACTGGGGAGATGGAGGCAAAGGACTATTTTGAAAGACAGATTTTTCAGTCACTGCTCTGCTTTTAGGGGATGGTTTCTCAATGGCAGCATTGCTGCTGTTTGGTCAGGGACTGTGCTGTGCACGTGAGC